TAGAACCAGACGGGCAGATCGGGCGGGTAGACCCTAACGAGCGGGTCGACAAGGCGGGCCCAGGCGGCCAGGTCGAGTAGGCGGGTTGCTGAAGTGTGCGCCCTCCATGAATCGCGAGGAAGTCTCGACCGATAGCGCGATTTCCAAATAAATCGTGAGGAAATCCACAGCGAGAGCGTGATTCCTGAGTGTCGAGGGCGCGGCGTCTAAATAGATTGCGAAGAATAAACTGTGAGGACGTATCAGGCGGGAGCCGTTGTTTTTGTAACTCGGGGGCCAGGGGCTCATTTCGGTGACCCCTCTTCGGTGACCCCTCGCTTCCCTGGTAGAAGCAAGGTGCGAGCCCTGGGAGAAACACTTTACTTGAAAAATGCAATGCGCCCCAGAGGGGGGATCAGCAATACTTGTTCTTTAGAAATGAGAATTCAACAACAACACCGTCACCACCACCAGAATCATCACCACCATCATTATCAGCATCAACAACATCAGCATCACCATCATCACCACCATCGTCATCGTCATCACCACCATCACCATCATCATCGTCACCTTCATCCTCATCACCGTCATCTTCATCATCAACAACATCAGGATCATCAACCTTCCCGCCATCATCATCACATCATCGTCGTCGTCGCCATTCCAATCACCACCATCACCATCAACGTCCGCATCACTATCAACAGCAACAGCAACACCACCACCACCATCATCATCATCGTCATCATCATCATCATCATCGTCGCCTGCATCATCATCATCATCATCATCATCATCATCAGCAGCAGCAGCAGCAACATCACCATCAACATCACCATCACCATAATCGTCCTCATCGTCGACATCATCAGCAACATCACCATCATCATCAACAACATGACCATCATCATCATCATCATCATCATCATCATCATCACCACCATCCGCGTCTCCCTCCTTATCCTACTCCCATGCCGTGCTTGCTCTTTAAGCTCGAGGCACCGCGTGCTGGGCACAGTTCACCGTTTTCCACAAGGAGTCTGACGAAGTCCGCCGGATCTCCGCAAATAAATTCTCCTCCGCCTGGGGTGAGTGGGGATGGCATGGAGAGGAGGGGTGAGGGTGAGACATGGAAAGAGGAGGAAGAGGAGGAGGAAGAGAAAGAGGAGGAGGAGGAGGAGGAGAAGGAGAGGAGGAGAAGGGGAGGAGGAGGAGGAGGAAGAAAATCCGTAGGTTCTTGGAGGATCCAATGGGGGCTCCGTGAGTACTGATTGGTTCTAGCCGGGTCTGAGGGTGATCCAGGTGGTTTTGATGGTGATCCACGGGGAGGCGGGGAAGGGAGATGGGGATGGCTTTCGACTGCTTGGGGATCTCTGGGGCATTCTGGCAAGTCCCGAAGGGTTCTGTGGGCCAAAGGATTGGGGACTGAGGATTGGCCCGCCTGCCCAGGGGCAGGCAAGGGGAAAGGAAGGGATCAGCACAGGGGGGCTCGCCAGCGAGCGAGCGAGCGAGGGGCCGAGAAGGGCCGAAGGAATGACCACGAACTAAAATACGACAGGGGCCCAGGGCCTTGGGGTCAGAGGGAGGGTTTTCTTCCTCCTCCTCCTCCTCCTCCTCCTGGTCCTTCTCCTCCTCCTCCTGGTCCTCCTCCTCCTCGTCTTTCCTCCATCTGACGCTGCTCTACCCCGCCCGTCACCCGAACTCGGCGCGTCCCTTCATGTGCTAACTGCCCTTCATCCACATGCTCCTCCTCGCCTTCATCCTCCTGCTGTTCCTCCTCCTCCTTCTCCTTCTCATCATGGTCCTCCTTGTCATCTCCCCCCCCCCTCCCTTCCAAAGGCCTCGAACTCCTGCGACTGGTATCTCACCCCGCGCGCAAGCGGTCCCGCTCTCGCGTGGGCTCGCGCCGGCGGGGTGGAGGGAGGAGGAAGAGGAGGAGGAGGAAAAGGAGGAGGAGGACCAATGTAACTCCAAGGTTCATCAACGATGTTGGAATACATCCTCCCTCCAAGCTGCCTCTTAATAGGCCACTGCAACCGTTCATTTCCATTGAGGGAACTGCCCCGTTGGCAGACAACGGTTTGAAGACCGTGAAACATGCCAAAGCATTGTTCTCGGGTTTTCAACCCCACGGATCAAACTGACTGTTGCGCTTTGACGATCCTGAACCGTGCAGAACGCAATTATTGGAACTTCAACACCGCGAACGAACGTAACTGTTGCACCCTCAAATCCTTCCAGAACGCCAGTTCTGGTACTTTGATCATGGGAATCCGTGAAACCCTTGCAAATTGTATTAACGAATGTGCGCGGCGCTCAGGCGAGAACCACATTTTGAAAACGGTTTCCCCTCAATCCGTGAAACTCGTGCAACATGTTAAAACGAATGTGCGCGGCGCTACGGCGAGAGCCACATTTTGAAAACGACCTGCCCTCCAACTGCGAAGCTGTTGCCAATTTTGAAAGGGGAGGAGGAGAAGCAGGAGGAGCAGGAGGAGCAAGAGCAGCAGGACCAGGAGCAGAACGACGAGGACAAGGAACACTGACGGCACGCCCAGGGGGGAAGGCAGAGGGGGCGGGCCTTCGCGGAAGGCTCAATGGCCCCCGGCCTCCTGAAAAGTTTTCTGAACCTTCTCCGAAGGCACAGAAATCTTTTCAGAACGCAAGAGGGTTTCTGAGAAGCCCCGCCGCCTTCTGAGAAGGCATGCCCCCTTTTCACGTCCTCCCTCGGCAGGCTGCCGAAAGAACGCGGAGGAAAATGCTTGCCCCTTCTCCTCCTCAGCGAAATCGCAACTCGACGAAGCAAGCCTCCATCCCGCGAGCGGGCCCCTTGCAGCGCGCGGCCGCAAGAGCTTCATGTCGGACCTAGAAGTGGGGACGAGGAGCACCAGCAGCAGCAGCAGCAGCAGCAGAACGAGAAGGTCCACTGCCCATCAAGGAACGTGAGGAGAGAGGTCCGACGGGAAAATTGATCGGGAAAGGGCGAGCTCGGGGGGAAGGCACCCGAGACAACGTCTTGACCCTGACTGGGTTCCCTCCCCGGCACATGGCCCTCCGACGTCCCCAGCCCCCCGCCCCGCCCCCCGTGCAGCTCGTCGATCGGCCCCCGGGTAAAGAGAGGGGTGGGCAGGATTCGAATGGACACTGCGCTTGGCAAGCTGAGAGAAACCAGCAAAAACAGAGAGTGCACCACCAACACCGTCTGCCACGCCCAGAACAGCGAGCGTATACGAGAAGGAAAAGGACGAGGAAGAGGAGGAGGAGGAAGATGAGGAGGAGGAAGAGGAGGAGTAGGAAAAGGATTAATGAAATGGAAGGGCCCGAAGGGACGGGGCACGGCACCAAAACTAAACAGGTTGGGACCAGCCTGCCGTTGAGGCTTCCTTGACACGGAGTTGCTCGATGAGGGCAGCCGTTCGCTGCTCATGAGGGGACCCCCGAGGCCGAGAAACATCTGGCAATCACTGTAGAAACAGGGGCCGCTACAGACTCCGAAGGGGCCAGCAAATTAACCGTGGGAGTACGAGAGAAAATAACACAACGACAAGAGAGAGCGTTGACCTTACGGTTAGCCGGCTCACCCTAGAAAGAACGGTTTATAACGACACGGCTCTTCTTAGTGGGATGCTCTCCAGGCTTAAAACAGGGTCTAGCAAACTGAATTGCTCGGCTCTGGGACCAGCCTCCACATCTCAAACAAATCCAGCACTGCTTCGCAAAGGCCTGATCACGCGCACTCGACGCCTGTCGAGCCGACAGTCCAGCCGTGACGACGAGGTGCCCCCTCGGATCCCTGATAAGCGATCGGGTCCAGGTTGGCGCACCAACCCACCCGTTCATAGGGAGAGACGATCGATCATCCCCGCCTGGCGTCAGACACTTGGCGCATTGTAGGCCTGCGGGGCCTTCCTGCCATTGATGCCATCCTTGTTGGAGACTATGCATTGTCCTGCGGCGCTCGGGGTTCCTCGCCCAGCGCGGCGCAACCTCCCACAACGGGGGCACAGTAGCAGCAAGAGCACAGCAATTAGCAGCTCGATCCTCCGCAAGATCCACCGACTGAAGAGAAATGAGATCGGCAGTCGGATGCACACCGACTGTCATCTTAGCGCGGTGGTCGACAATCCCACTGGCCAAAGCCCATTCGCGTTCGAACAGGGGCAACGATTCGACCACCCCTTGCGACCTGCGCGCCTTGATGCTACGCACTTGCTGGATTCAAACGGTTGCCTCCAACGACTGAGCGCACTTTCTGATTCCCGCAAACTTGTTGTTTGCTGAGAGCTGCTGCTGGACACTGCGCTACGTTATTTGTGATCACTGAGGTGCAATCGGCACCGAACACGGCTGGTCTGTTTGCAACCTGTACGCACAATGCCACTCCGACGTGCTCAGACATCGAGGTCAGAAGACATGTTCCGTGGACCATTCCACGCGTAACTGCAGCTGGCTCAGGATGAGACCCCCTCGCAGGCAAGGCCACGATCGACCGCGCAACTCGCTGGAGCACACGATTCGGGGGCCGCGTGCAGGATCCGCCAGGGACCATTCCCAGAACAGGCTCGCTCGACAACTTTGCCAGCTGCGCTGGATCCTTATCGAAAGGGCTTCCCGAACCATCAAAAATCTCCACCTCAGCAGAGGTGGGCGGTTTTGGCAGCTCGGACTCGGGGTGCACAAAAATGCCACGGGTAGAAGTCTCGAGGTCTGGCTCTGCTAGAGTCGCCTCTAAACAAATCACGCGAAACACTTGACTCTTCACGCGCATGAATCACCTCAGGCCTAACACAGCTACGGAGTCTGTGGTGGAGTGTGTCGACCTGTCCACACAAACACCCCCGTCAATCGCGCACCCCGTCAAACGCCCTCTCCCAGCGGCCCCGCACCATTGGATCTACAGCTCCTGATCAACCACGTGGCGTTCCTTGCTCAACCCTCGGGCTCTTGACCCCACTCTACACTTGACAAGATCTAGGGTTGCCCTGTGCCCTGGATGGTGGCCTAATTTAGCTGCAAGGGTGAGTTCGTGAGACCGCTTGATGCCTGTCTCAAGCTGGCCCGCCAGAGGCGCAGACAGAGTTTCATCCAGCTAGACCGTTGTAACCCCGCAGCTCTAGGGGACCTACGACCTCCCAGCCCGCACTAGAGAGCGCCAGCACCGCGCAGCTCAACGGGCCTCGGGAGGACCTCCAGGACCCTGGCTCCAAAGGTCTGGCCGACTTCCAAAGCCTGAGAGCTCAAAACAGCTGACTAGCACTGTCTCAGGTTGGGCGGCGGCAGACGAAAATCATTCTGCACCACTGTATCGCAAGTGCTACTGCGAAGCTCAAGCTGGGAAGACCTGCCATGACCAATTTCGCATGCAACGAGATGCCTCTGTGAGATGGGGAAACGGTGCTGCTGTGGAGCCGTTGGTGGGTCATCCATTCACGCTGGCTCAAGCCAATCACCTCGATTCCAAAACTGCTAGCAGGAGACACTCCAGCCTACGCTTGGAACCCTCAAACCTACTTACCTGCTTATGCCGGGACTCCTTCGGGGACGCCTTGATGCCCGAGCTCTCATCAACCCCAAGACATGCGACGCTATTCTTGAATGCGGCACGTGGAACTCCGACTCCATCACATATGGGATACCCCAGCACCACACAAGAAACCACGAACGACTCCTTCTTAGTTCAGCACCGCGTTCAGCTTGCCGGACGCTGCCTTAAACTCTTGCATTGACTCCACAGCCGTACGCTTTGCTGTGGTGATATCCGAAGGGCAGTTCCCAATAGCACTGCCATCGATGTACTTGAGGGGTTCGATCGTAAAGCACCGCGCCACAAAAATGTCCATCTCGAACTCGGCGTGAACTTTGATGGCCGGATCCGCATTGCAATCATCTGCAGGAAGGCCGTTCGTCGCGTGGAGGGGCTGCAGCGAGTGGTTGCGCCCACTGCGAATGGTTCTAGGACCACACCACGTATTCATCACTATCTTGGCCAGCACGTTGGTATGCCAATTCGCCTGCACTTCCACTAACTCTCGCAGCGGCATGGACTCGTAGTACTTCGACCAATCTATTACGCAAAGCTAGGAGTGTAGACCATCAGCACGATCTGCTTCAGCTCCCGTAGCTTGGATCCACGCATAATCAATCGCCGATCTTCCATTTCCTGCACCCCAGAACTTTCTCTCTAGGGATTCGCTGATGCCACTGACCATCCATCTGCGAATTGGTCGTCATAGAGTGTGTATACCAACATGTGGAATGAGCAATATGTTTCCACCAGCCGCATTCGGGAGCATTTGCATCTGGATCCAGCACCAGTGCTTCTGCAACAAACCTATCTCCTTCGAAGGCTCCCATATCAGCGGCACCACCTCAATGCCATCGCTCACGAGAAACAGCGCACGCCGCGGATGGAAGTAATCAAATGGCGAGGAAGAGAGGGGTAGGAGGAGGAGGATGAGGACAAGGAGACCTCAAATTCCTGCTCCCCCCTGACCCGGGCCTGGAATCCCTGCGTTTCGTAGATGATCAAAGCGTCTCGGTCCTCCTCCCGCAAGTTCTTCTTGTGGACGTGCTCCCTCCCAGGCAGGTATAACAGGTGAGGCGGGCTGTGCTGGTACAGGTAAAACGACCTCGGGGGGGAGGAGGAGGAGGAGGAGGAGGAGGAGGAGGACGAGGAGGAGGAGGAGGACGAGGACTAACGCCACAGCGTCACGCTAAAGTTAGTCTAACAAAAGAGGAGGAGGAGGAGGAGGAGGAGGAGGAGGAGGAGGAGGAGGAGGAGGAGGAGGAGGAGGAAGAGGGACACCAGCCATGCGAGGAAGGGTGACGCTCGAAAGAAGAGGAGGAGGAGGAAAAGGCGGAGGCGGAGGAGCAGGATGACGCAGAGGAAGGCAAGGTGGAGCAGGCGGAGGATCGTGGCAGATTCTGCTCCCTAGCCGACGAGAATTTCACAGTTTGAGCGGCCGCGGCGACCGAGGCCTACGCCTACCCCCAGGCGAGCCCTGGGTGACAAGGTTCGAGTTGAAAAACATGAGATCACTGAGCTGCAGCTGAGGACGTATCCCACGAGCTTCTCGCTTGCGCTGATCCCTGCATTGTGGCTGAGGTGCGTGTCGAGCGTCTCCCGCTGCAGTGACAGAGCCTGCGGCCGCTGCCTGCCTTCCCGCACAAACTGCGTTTGCAACGAATGAGCACTCTGCAGTGCCTGCATCCTCGTACAATCTGATCCCCGCATTGTAGCTGAGTGTTGTGTCGCACAACCCCCGTGCAACAACCGAGCCTGCAGCCACTGCCTGCGTTCTCGCACGACTGAATCCCCACATTGTAGCTGAAGGGCTGTCCCACGAGCACCCTTCCCGCACGAGCCGACCCCGACGTTGTAGCTGAGATGTGTCTCGCGCGCCCCCCGTTTGCAGCAGCAAAGCGCGGTGCCACCGCCTGCCTTCGCGCACGACTCCACCTCGAACGAACCAAACCCAGCATTGTAGACGATGTTGTGAGCTCGCACTTGTTCGCACGAGCTACTCCCAGTGTTGATACCAATCCGCGCCGATCCAGCGTGTGAGTTTCTGAGAGCGTGGGCTTGAGCTCGCTCAAACTTTTCTCTTCAAGGGGGGGGGGCGCAATTTAATGCACAGAGGGGGGGACCAAATTCCGAGCTCGGGGGGGAGGGGGGCGAAATTCGGAGCACGGAAGGGGGGTGCGTAACTCAGAACACGGGGGGGGCGGCGGGCGGGACGTCATTCGGAGCACCGGGGGGGGGGACGTAACTCAGAGCCCGGGGGGGGGGGGGGGGGGCCTGATTCGGAACACGGGACGGGGGGGGAGCGTAACGTTGAGAGCACAAGGGAGGAACTGGTGTGGGGGGGGCCTAATTCGGAGCACGGGAAGGGTACGGGGAGGGGAGGGGGGGGGACGTAATTCAGCACACGGGGGGGGGGACCTAATTCGGAACACGGGGAGGGGGGGGGGAACGTAACTCAGAGCGCAGGGGGGGGGAGTAATTCGGAGCACCGGAAGGAGGGGGGGGCTGTACCCCGAGCATCAACAACCGCAAAATCAGACGGGGGCCGTAGATTATACTGGCTCTTTCTGATATTTAAGGGCGGTGCTTTCAAATCCGCAGATGGATCCTTACTTTGGGCCTCCTGGGGCGTCCTTGTCGCCACAATTGGATCCGCTCCAAAAATCTAGCCAGAACGCACCCCGTCTTGTTCATCCCCGTTTTCCTCGTCCCCCTCTCTTTTTAGATTGCGATGGTGGTGGTGGATGATAGTGATGATGTTGTCAGTTCAGTTCCAACTGTCCACATCCAAATCCAGCAACAACTCGTCGAGAACGCATTGCGCCCACTTACACAGCATGGACTCCGCGATCGTGGTTGGATGAACGGTGTGTGATATTCTAATCAGGCGTCCCACCAAGTCTTCGTCAGCGTACGTCCACCAGTAGACAGGGTTCCCAAAGTGCATCGACTGCATGACTGAGTGCTCGAAAAGATGTAGCTTTGGCACCAGCTTCCATATCCTCAGTTTGTTTGAGAAGCTCCATTGGGAGAGTTTACAATAGACGGAAGCGAACTGGGTGCCGAAAGTCTCGGGCGCTGTCTGAACAGCGCCGTTCATATAAAAGCTTCTGCTTTCACGATCTCGTAGAAACGGCCGAGCAGCTGACGCGCAGCAAATGCGAATCGATCGTGAACGCCCCAGTGCGGACCATCTAAATCTGCAGCGTGGCACAACATGTGTACTGCGGACGATGCATAAGTCTCCTTCGCGGCGACGTTCGACCGCGATGCCACCCAGAGGGGGGAATACGGCACCCAAACAACGCTGGGTGAGGCCGCGGCCGTGCGCCAACAGCCGACACGCCAGCCCACCGCGTCGAACGACACAGGCGGCTGGCGCGCCAGGGCGCAGGCCGAAGCACATGGGTACCATGTCCCCCCTCGAGGGTGGTGGGTGGGAGAAAAGAAGCGCGACCGCGGTCGCGTCCGACGCGCTATGGCGAACGGACGCCCCGCGCGTCGCCCCCAGGGTTGGTCCAGAGCCGCACGCTGGCAGACAGAGGACCACGCCCCGGCCAGCCGCCCCACCTTAAGAGTGCACACTCGGCAGGTGGGGCGCTGCAGACATGACCGGGCACTTGATATCCCGCCCCGCGGCCAGGCGGCAAAGAGGAGACATCGCGACCGTGCGCGGAGGAGCGGACGGAGGAAGGACCCCGACGCACGGCCGCGCGGCGCGCCAGCATGCCCGCGCGGGGCCTGGCCCGCCCGACGTAGCGGCGGCGCGTGGCGGGTGGACACGCGGGCGCCCGCCATCGCGCGGTGCGCCGACGGCGGGACACTCCCGCCTGGGGGCGTCGACTTATGACTTGCAATAACAAGTTATCACTGCCCCAAAAGTCTCCTTCGCGGCGACGTTCGACCGCGATGCCACCCAGAGGGGGGAATACGGCACCCAAACAACGCTGGGTGAGGCCGCGGCCGTGCGCCAACAGCCGACACGCCAGCCCACCGCGTCGAACGACACAGGCGGCTGGCGCGCCAGGGCGCAGGCCGAAGCACATGGGTGCCACACCCACTGCCACGGACCCAGGGGCTGAGGCCGAGCGCTGCCCCACACAGCGGGCCTGCGGCACCCGCAGGCACGCTGCCACCCAATGCCAGGCAGAGAGACGGCCGCAGACGCGTGGCCCGCGAGAGAGCGACCGATGGACCGAACGAGGGCGAACGAGCGTGCGAAGGGGCCTGGCGCGACGTTACTTGCACCGACCAAGCGTGGAATGACGTCGCTGGACGCCGGGGGTTTCCGAATCCCCACCCTCGTCGTCACTGGACGACGCGCCGAAATGCGCCTCGGCGACGGCCTGGCGCTCCATCTTCTCAACGTCAAGATAGCGCATCCAAGCTGGCATCTGCCAGTCACCTGCCTTCAGGATGTCGGTGACTCGGCCGCCGAACTCCACAATGTCTTGGGCGTGGCCCCGACGGAACGAGTGGGCGCCGTAGGCGTCGGCGTTAACTACTCCCGTGTGACGCAGTGCCGACCGCAGCGCGTTACGTACACCCGTGGCGCACCAGCCCGCCCACGGGGCCTCTCCAACGGACTGCGAGTTGAACCGCGCGCCGAGAGCGTGTACGGGGCACGTGGCGCGTGAGCGCTGACACCAGCAATTGCGCACAATAGTTGTCCGTCTTTCCCGGTTCTTCCGTCTGGCGAGCGATAAGACGGCCGCCTCTTCGCTGATGAAAAGGCCCGCGCGTAAATGTGACGCGTCGTCGAGCGAGGCGGCCCGTTGGATGACCAGCGCTTCCGACGGGAGGCGAAGTAGAAACGCGCACGCGGTCACGAAGAGGAGACCCAGCCCGGATCCCTCTGGTAATGCGCCTGGGCGTTCCAGTAGCTGTTCCAGCACGTGCATCCGGACCGCCATGCGGGGTCGTGCCGACCAACCCGAACGCTTCTCGATAGCCAGCTTGGCGCCGGCCAGCGACGCGTGCGTGAACGCTGCGTCTGCCACACGCGCGACGTGGCATGCCTTCTTCAAATGCGAAAAGTAATTGCAGAACGTCGCGCGACACCTGAACGTCGTAGACCAGAGCAAAAGACCGTCGACCGACGGCGGGAGTTCGCTGCCTTTGCGCTGCAAAACGTCGCGCGCGAACTTCACCCAACATTCGAAGCCGCTGCGAACCTGCGGTAATGACCGTGGGCACGATCCGAGCAGGGCGCTGTCACGGGCAACCCGGGCCCACGCCCGCCCCGCCTCGGGCGACGTGACGGCTGCGGCAGCCTTCGCGATCTCGCAACGCGGATCGCCCATCTGACGCTCGAAACCTTCCGTTGCCGTACGTAGCGCACGGCGTACCGCTGCCACTGGGTCCGCTGCCGAGCTGCGGCTGCGCCGCCGACGGGCCGTAAGCATCGCGGGTGGAGGCCCCGGTGGCGGCGCCGGCCCTGGGATGCCCTGCGCGCGCGGCCGCGCGCGAAGACGTCGCGCGCGTGCAACGCGCGGAGAAAAGCGATCTGCGACGGACCACGCGGGGTGCCCATAACCGCACACTCGAGGACGAGGACGATGAAGAAGCCGAGCTCGCAGAGCCTTGACTCGACGGGCGTGCCCGCGCCGCCTCGCCACCGTTGGGCCTGGCGTTCGCCCATCGTCCTTACGAATGCGCGCGGCGCGCGCGCACGACCCGCGCGCCCGCGATGCACGCCACCTTGCGGGCGTGCCAGCAGCTCTCGCACTGCTGTCGCTGCGGTGACAGAAAGGCGTTCACGACCCAGAAAGTCATCGAACAGCGCACCCTCGAGGTGCTGCCAGCGCGTCATCCCGTTAAACCGCAGGCAAGAGCAAACCGCGTCGATATCAGCACGTGACGCTCTGGGCAGAACATTGCTCAGCTGAGCGGCGAAATCGTCGTGAGACATAATGATACAGGCTAGGTCGCGTGGACCTTGCGGTGTGAGCCCCTGCTGAGTGGCGCGCGTCAACCGTGGCGCGCGCCGCGAGATACCCGATAGCTGGCGCCGAGTTTCGGCTGCCTCGCAGCGTA